TTTGATGAGTCCAAACACAGGGGAAAGAGCACATATGTGAGTAAGGAGGGAGTGAAGTACTGTGATGTTTTCTTCTCTGGCCTGGTGAAGAAGGACGAGTCAGTCCGTTATGATGAAGTCAGAACGTACACCTTTAGTCCAATTGAGAGAGACCAAACAGCAATGCGGTTCGGTTTTTACTGCACTGACAGCAAATCTGCTGAGTTTGTAGATGAGCCGGGAATGAAGAAGATTGGGTCTGTCTCAGTTTCAATGCCAGACATTAGCAGGGGCTTTAATCGTTCAGTCAGACTTGAAGTCAAGTTTGGTTTCACCAGAGATGAAGGCGACAGCCACAGATATTGAATCTGGTAAAACCAATTCAGTCAAACTGGACTTCATGACCCAGTAATTAAACCTTCAATTCTGAGGCATAAAGCTGATATTCCTGGCACTAGGTTCAGTTGTGTTCTTTATATTAGAAATGTGTATGTTATTAAATTGTTGTGTCATAAACTACCATTTTAAAGAAACATGAACATGAATATACTTCACACTTCAGTGTCTTCCATTGTTTCTCTGATAAAACAGGTCAGTAATAAGATTTCACTTAATGATCAGTGAACTGTGTTCTGACTGTGTGCATAATCACTCACAAACTATCGCAGTAAATACAACAATAAAGACAGCATGGAGCTTCTTTTACACAGTGATAGGAAACACAGTAGTTCACAGATCTTTGGTGGCATATTGTAATCAGGTAAAGGAGACATTATCAAATTTTCAGAATGGTGCATCAGCGAAATGGTAGATAAGATGGGGCAATTTGATTTAAAAGTTTTGTTTTATACATTTTAATATAAATTCATGTCCTTTTATTAAAAGACACTAGACAATGCCTTTATTAGCCACGTTATACTATTTGTGTAAAATTTGATTAAATAACTGAATTGGTTTAATAGAATTTTGTATGTTAATCTTACAGTTCCACTCATAATGCTCCGTGGGGACATTCAAAATGTGCAAACTGATGAAAGAAATGAGAGAAATGAGAGAAATATCTATAATAAAATCTTTATTAATGATTGAAAGAGGTTCTAGAATGAGGACACATACTATGTATAAATACAGTGCAAATTATCTAATTAAGAGATCCTAAAGATTTTTTTGTGCTGAAATATCTGTTTTTTTCTTATATTTATTTATTTTGCTCCACTAGAGTATCTGAATGAATTACATTCATCTAAAGCTTTGATTTACAGTGTTGGATGCAGCATGATTTGTTGTTTATTTTCATAACAGTTAGTAATAAGATTGATTAATTCACTATTAACTTTGTAAATAATAGCTATGAACAAATCAGTGCAAATCTGGAAATTAAAATTGATTCTACATCACAGTTCTGGTAGTTGTTCATGTAATGAATTTGTTGTAAGTCTTTGTTGCCAAAAAGTGAGAGTCAGGAGGCCACAGAATACAGGCCTTATACAATGCAGTTATTAAGGATACGTTTCTGTTGTTGTATGTCAGGAGACACATAAGTAAGTATTCCAGTCAATATCTGTTTTTAATACAGAGCTAGATGGGAGTCAGTGTGTGCACTGTTGATTAGTCATGTGGACTAAGATTAAAGGAACAGAGACTCAGTGTTGACATGCACACCAGTCATATAATCAGTTATTCAAAACGCACAGTTAACCGTTGTAAACCTGCTGCCTTAAAAAGCCAATCCAGATCTTTCAGTGTAGAGTTCAGTGTAACTACTGCAGAGAAGCTGGTATCGTTTACCTTACTTCAGCAACGTCCTCCCCAAAATCTTCTACTTGCATATTAAATACAATCACTACAAATTTACTCAAGGAAATTTTGCCAGAAACTAATAATAAACTCCTCTCTTAGCCTTTGCTATTTACCAAAAACTCAAACTAGCAGTAATTAAACCGCTGATTAAGAAAATTTTGTGAGGTACAGTGCAGTACCAAACTTTGCACGTCAATAATGCTGGTCAAGCTCTATCCAGTGGTACAGAGTTCATCCTTTATCATCAAGGAAACGGGAGATTTAAGCCATGAAACCTCATGAGTTTGGAGCAACCCTGAGCAATGAAAGAAGGACGGGGTGAACTCGAGCTTTGCATGGAGATGACATCCAGCATCCAGCAAGACTTTTATGATGACACAGTAAAAATACCAATTTCAAGAATAAACTCCACTGTGGAACAACACCCTGGTTGCTCCAGTGTGCTGGACATGGAGTGAGCAGAGGACATAAGCTGAAAAATACACTGGTTTGTGAAGCCTGAAGTCACCCTGAGTAAATTCCTATGACCCATCAATAACCTAAGATCAAATATCACCAATAGGCTGCAAAGCTGTTAGAAATGAGTTGAGAGAGGTTTGAAATGATGTTATTTTGAGGAAAACGCAGCTTAAAGATGAGAAAAGTGAAGAAAAGTCAAAGTCGACAGAGGGTGCTCAGCCCCGCCGGGCACGGGGTCAATCTCCCCAGCAACCAGGAGGCTGAAAAGAGGAAAATGAAAAAAAGGCAATTTTGTCTTTTCTCTCATGAAGACTGACCGCACAGAAGGTTACAATAAGATGAGAAATGGCCACTAAAGTGATGGTTTGGCAGTCAAAAGCTGCAACAACCCACAAAGTACAGTTTGCAACACAGGACGCAACCAAGCTGCAGCAGCTCATTACGTCACACAGGAGACTGAAGTGACTCAAGGCTCACACATTGAGGTGAACGTGTTTATCATTGCAGTGCTCTGCTTGAAGCTTAATGCTGTATGTAAAGCTGCATTTTAGCTTGTGGTGCCTGCAAGACCATAATGTATTGCTACCTGTGGACTTTTAGAGAAGTGTTTAGTCTGTTTTTTTATTGCTCTGCTTTATTTTGTTTACAGTCTTCTTTTACTACTTCAGGGTTTTTCTACAGTGGTAAAGCAAATGTGTGTTTCAGTTGATCCTGATATGCATGTGTGTTTGATGTGCCTTAACAAAGTCACTTTAATGTTTCTTCTGTCATGATAGTCATTGTCTTGAGCCTGTGTTCTACAGTTTAAATAGATTGAACATTAATGAGTGCAGATGAAGTTGAATTTGTGAAAATTAACATGTAAACTTATACATTAATAAATGCTCTGTGATAGAATTAAGCTGATTATCTAATAAACAATGAGGAACTATTTGGAAACATCAGGATTGAGTAGTTTTACTAAAAAGTTGTTTAACAATCTGCATCATTTAATGAAACAGCATGAACATGATTACATTTAGTTAAAATTACACTTCAAGCAAACTTTACAAACTATAATTAAGCTGACAAAACTTATAAGCAATCAGTAAATGTCATCAGAAAGGCATCAAATTTGAGTTGTTTTAACTCAAAAGAGTTGTATTTCTAACAATCTACATAATTTGCTTAAGTAGAAAGAACATGATTCGTTTTAGTTAAAGTTACACTGTTGAAGTAAATTCTGCAAAATCCAGTTAAGTTGATGTTGCTTTTAGATAACGAGTAAATGTCACTCAAATGACCTCTGAATGTAGATCATTTCATTTCATGCAACCCTTTGATGTAAAAATATGAAGTCAAATCAAAGAGTCATTTTTTTTTGAGTGTGGCTTTGAGCCGTTTCTTGTTTGAGCCTTCATTTTTGGTTCTTAAGTAGTTTTGGGGCGATTTCTCTCTTTTCTTTTCATTTCGTTTAAATGCCCACCTGGGCTAAGTACGGTATCGGTCACCCCTCCACAAAGGTGTGACAAAGGGCTGCTGTTTGCAAGGCCTTAAGTAGAGGAGTTCACAGGTGTGCCCGGTTGGGCCTAATCAGCCCGAGAGCTTCTGGGAGTTGCAGTTCCCTGAGCCGTGGTGCCTTGTGTACCAAGGTTAAAACATATTTGTTTTTTGTTAAGATTCCAGCAAAATCCTGATTTTTCCAGATATTTGTCTGAATGATTTGTTTTCGTGTTACGTATTTTGCGTATCTGTACTGGGGAATCGCTTATTGTGAAGTGTTGGTTAATTGTATACTGTCACTTTAAGAGTCAGGGTCTTGCTGTGCGGCTGCGGCGCCTCCAGTCTGCGAAGTGCAGACTGAGAGGTGGTCTGCGCTGCTAGCGGCGGTGGCTAAAACCCTCATTCTATCCCTGTAAAGTGACACAGAAGAAGCTGTGTGCAGTTCTAAGCGCTGCTAGTGAGGCTGTGAACATGGAAATCTGCCGTAGCTCAAATGTGAACTTCGTAAATGTCATGTTTTCCAGTTTTATCTGAGGCACGTGCTTCTCGGCTCTACGGGGGTCCCCCATGTGCGCTCTGTTAACAGGGGGCTTGATGACCTGCGTGTGCTGGAGAGGGAGAGAGAGAGCAGCGTGAGTGGTCAGTCCTAAGCTGTGCGCTGTCTGCAGAGCTGTCACGGGTATATTTAATGTTCATACAGCATCAGCTATGATGAAGAGAGCCAGCAACCAGCAGCAGTTGTGGTCCGAGTCCTTTGTTCAGTCAGCGCAGCGCAGCGCTCATCGAACACAGCGCAGACTATTAAGGGGGTCAAGGTTGTTCAGTGGGACCGCTTTAATAACACACAGGTCCCCACGAACACAGTGCGCCATCACTTTAAGCCCCCTGGTCTCCCAGTGGCCAGGACCTCTATAGCGGCCAGATTTCAAGGTTTAGTCCGAGGAGGGGGGCTTAAGAGTGGGCTGTGATGGTGTGCAAGGTTCTTGGAAAGCCTAAGTTTTTCAGGGGTCCTGCTCACCTCGAGGCAAAACTCCCCAAAATGTATCTGCTAGCACCTTTTAAAGGGGCGATAAAGCTTTGGATGGAGCGCACATTGAATAAATAAAAATAATAATAATTATAAATTATAAAATTGTAAAAGGCCAAACGACTGCCAAAAAAAATCTCCATAAAATTAGAGTAAAATATTTAATATATTAATATTAAAATATTAAAGTAAAATACTTTTTTTCAAGAAAAGTATAATAATTTTATGGACATTTTCAGTAAAGATTTTGCAGAAGAAACTGTTATTTTACAGATTTTTCCTAAATGATTGTGATCAAAACCTTCAATAAAGTGATGCACAAATAGTTGTGCAGATTAAAACTGTTACCTTACAGATGTTTTTAAATTACTGCCATCAAACACCTTCAGGAAAGTAAAGGTCACTAAAAGTTCTGCAGACAAACACTGTTGTTTTACAGACTTTTTCTGAATCATAACAAACACCTTTAAAATTAATAGCACTAAAGGTTCTGCAGAGGAACACTGTACTACTATGTTTTACAGTTTGTTGGCCTTGTTTGCCATTTTGCAAAGCCTGACTGGACAGAGGCCGAACATATAATGTCTACCAAATTCCTTCATTCTACTTATAGACACAGAGAAAATCTGCTTCAGGTACGTTTATTGACATCGACAACATTAACATTCAAGCAACATTCAATTTAAAAAATGGGCCAAATTTGTGCCCCCACCAAATAAAGCACTTTAGTAGATCAGACATGATGGACCAGACGTCACAACATGAACAACCTGTCAATCATTCAAATTAAGCAGACAAAATATGAAATTGTCATTCTAACGATGTAAGACAAGGAAGGAAAACACACAAATTTATTGCATCAGATTGAAGTTACGAATGTCCTCTTTTAGAATATCAACACCAAATCTGTTTATGGTGCCCAGAAGCTGAGAAATCTGATCTTAAGTGGGACTTTTGTATTGCTGAGCCAAGGCTTTTTATAGGACTTTGCCCCAAACTTCTGTAACTCTGTCTACGTTTTTAAAACACACATGGTCAAAGTGGGACGGTTTCTGTTTATGTTCAAGGCCTCAAGGGGGAGACTTCACTGAAAGAAAGGTGCAGAGATGAGACGTTGCTCATTTGAAATACATCTTCAGCTGAATTTTGATACAAATGCTTTACAATGTTCTGCTTTATGTGGCACATTTCATTGTCCCAGTCCTGCATGGTAAAGCATTGAGAAGCTGGAAGAGTCAACCACAGGGTTGCAGACTCAGCTTGAGAGAATCCTCCTGCAGACTGTGCGGCCCAGTTAAACTCCAGATGTCCCAAAGACTTTTCCTTCTATTGTTACAGTTAAAAAAGGTCTTTATGCTTCCATTTAAAATGTGCAATTACAGAAAGTAATTGACTGATACACAGAATTCTGAAATCTGTACAGGCTGCATGTTTTATAAGGTGTTCCCACGTACTGCTGAAACTATGTAAATTGACCCATTGTTAAAGGTCCATGCAATGGCTGTCAGCAGGACACTTAAGCATTGCTGGCTATTAAGAATGGGTGGGAATGGGGCAATCGAGTGTCCAGGCAGCTGTTCACAGGCAGCTATTAACGCAGGGAGGGGCAGGGGCAATGGGGCGGGTCATGAATTCACAGGCACATATAAAAGTGGCCACACTGAGAAATCTCCTACTACTGCCTCTTGCTTTGTCAAGGCCGGTTGCTTTTGCCTCGCTGTTCATCGCTTTTTGCGTGGTTGATCTCTCTTCTTCTCCAGATGGCTTCTGATGCGTAAGTACAGTCTGCTTATCCATCTAAAACTGTGTGGTATCTACTGTAGTAGAAATAGGCCACTTTTTCCTTAAAAAGCTCATTACTCTTCGTCTAAATAATCTTATTGTAAACAGTTTGTTTTTAGTATAACCTTTTTGAAGGATACACAAGTTTAGCAGATGCTATTTTACTTGGGTAAAAAGAAGAGAGACAGTTTTTTTTTCTTATTTTCTAATTCTTTAATTTATAATGTCTATTTTTTTCTTTCCTGTTTCTTCTCTCTTTCTCTCTTCCTTCCTTACAGCCAAGCTCGCAACAGGACCTACCTCCTGTGTCCTGTTTGCAAGAAGACTCAGTGGAGTCTTCCTGTTCACCTGAGGAGGTCCTGTATGAAGGACTCTCCAGGTGTGGCTATTGAGAGGGTTGTCGATGCTGCCAAGAAGGAGGCGAATGAGTTGCTTCGCCGAGGCCGTGTCTGGGAGTACGGCCTCATCAGGAAGATCCTGGACAGCCCCGACCCTGTTGGCAGGTACGATGCTGACTGTTTTACTCTCCTTGCACTTGGTTCATTTAAATTCACCACATGACATTTTTCTTTTATTCTGAGAAGCTAAATTTCCATTTGTTTTTATTCTAATAGGATGATTAAGGAGCTGCAGGACAGGGGGAATGTTGTGGTCAACGCCCCCCACGAAGACCCAGCCCCCGCCATTCCAGCCAATCAACCTGCAGCCCATGCTCCATGGACTGCACCAGTTGAGGCTGAGAGTGAGGCTGAGGATGAGTCTGGGAGTGAGGCTGAGGATGAGGCTGGCTCTGAAAGCCCCGGGGAACTCTACCAGTGGTGAGTGTTTAAATTTCTTGATTTCTCATCTTCCTTCCGGATTTGTCCTGATCCACTGTGTTTCTGGTGCAGAAAACATATTTAATACATGTTCTCTTTGTTTTGCAGCCCCACGACTGGGAAGAAGACGACTTCACTGAGGGAGAGGATGTCCATCTTGGGCTTGTACGACAAGCACTCCATCGACCATCCTCTCCTAAGGAGTTTTGCCAAGTATCTTCAAGTTGACTTGGCCAACGAGAATTTTAAACAGGAGGTAAGAATACAAATGTATTAGTTCATAACAGAACTTATAAGGGCATCGCATAATGAACTTAGACCACAACATGTTCTAGACTAAATCAACCACATTCTGCTTTGTTCTAGGTGGAGAACGTTGCTAGGTTCATGTATTACATGGACCCCAAGCGGCCCAGCCTTCTGTTCGTCCGTCAGCGTGAGCGGACTCGAGAGTATTTCAACAAGCTCTCAGAGGTTGGGCTCTGCAAGCAGACGGTCCAGAACTACATGAAAAGTGTCAAAAGGTAAGCGGTTTATGGGTGATACTGGTAGACTGTGCCGCACTGCGAGACCTTTGAAATCATAGGAGCTGACTGAATTTGACAATGTGACTAACTTTTAATTCCTTTGAAGGTTCTTGAAGTTCCATGTCGGGAGCACCAGCCTCTGCTTTGAAGACAGAGCTCTTCATGAGGACTGCAAGAACTACCTCTGGTTCCTGTCCAACATGCAGGCAGCGGCATGGAAGCAAGTCAGCAAGGAGGTGACTAGAAGGAGGTCAGCATCTTTGATTTTTATGTCCATTTTATTAAATAATAATAATAATAATAATAATTGCAATTATGCAATGAATTGTTTGTAAATAACACCTGATTTTATTTTCACAGGGTTGATATTCTCAGTGAGGGGGGCGTTGCGCTCACACAGTGCGTTGCTGTGTTGGACGCCGCAAAGAGAGATTTCCTGGCTGTTATGGGGAAGCTGAGTGGGCCAGGGTGCTTTCTTGGCCACCAGCTGACCCAGGCAGAAGTACAGCTGGCCCTCTATTACCTAGAGGCCGTTGTGATTCTGCGGCATCTTCAGCGGCCTGGAGTGGTCGAGCACATGACTGTAAGTACTAGCGTTAGCACTAAATACATGTCATTTCATTTTTATCGATATATATATTTGTATGTTTTCAATAGACTCATCGTTTAACAAACACATCCTCTTTGTTGTGTGTCGTAGGTCACTGAATGGGTGCAGCGAAAGAGGGTTCCTGGACACGGTGGTCATGTTGTGGTGGGGGTGAAGGAGCATAAGACCTCCGTAAGACAGGTGGCCACCTTCGCTCTCTCCCAGGAGGAGGAGATGGTAAGATCCTTCGTGTGAAGCTTGTGCTGTTATAAATGCCGTGACAAGTGTGAAAGCGTCTTGTGATGAAACCAGATTTTAATGGCTCTCTTCTCTTCACAGTGGTTTGATTTGTACTTCACTGAGGTGCGCCCAGTTATGCTGGGAAAGAAGAGGAAGCGTACGGAGGATGAGACTGACGAGTCGGAGGAGAGGTTCTTCATCTCCTCCACTGGCAGTTCCATCTATAACACTTCCAATGACCTGGAGCGGCTGCACAAAAAGTAAGTGAAACTGATTCAAATGTCTTCTTTACGTTGCGTACGCTTCCAGTACAGTTTGAACAAATCCTGCGTCAGTAAGTTGGATGTTGCATTGATGAATTTATTACCTTTATCTCGCAGGTATCAGATGCCGAAGGTGACAAGCCAGATGGCCAGACGGGCTTTTGAGACGGCCACCGAGAATATGACCGATATTGAGAAGTCCATGGTGGCAGACTACCTGACCCACAGTTCAGCCACTGCGGAGAACGTGGTGACGGCTAGTCTGCTTCTTAAGAGGCTCCTCGGTGGTTCCGAGTGAGTATCTGTTCATGCTTCCACTACAGCATCGTCCCCGTTGTTGTGTTTCGGTGTTTTATATTGATCTTTTTATGACACAAACTTCTCTCACCATCTTTTCTTTTGTTTTCTGTAGTTCTAGTGAGGAGGGAGGAGCCCGCACTGGCAGTGGCTGTTCTCCGCTGGATGACCAAGCTGCCTATGACTTGCTTGTCAAGTCCTATCCAGTGATGGTCGATGGAGCTGCGCCCAAGCGCTCGGTGCGTGCATCGCTGACAGGGGTGCACGAGCGCTACTGTTATGACCGCTGGCGCGGTGACCAGCTTCAGCGTCGTGTGCAGCATGTTCTAGGTGCGTGATTTTGACATGTCTCCCTGATCCCATTCACAGTCTTCACCCATTCATTCAGTTCGGTCTGAGTGTGTTGACTAAATCCTCTTTCTGTTCTTCACAGAGCACTTTGGCCGGCGGCTCCCGTCTGAAGCCAGAGTGAGAAGCTGGATTGAGAAGCAGGGATGGACTGCAAACGTTCCAGATGCAGCCCTTGTTCTCAGGCAGTGGAAGCCAGCTGGGGGGGTTGACACTGCTTTAGATAGCAGTGCAGTTAAGAGGCTGACCAGGACCCAGAAATGGAAGGGTCTTGTCGTAGCCAGTATTGAAGGGAAGGGCAGGGGGGTTTTAGCCACCAGGCAGTTTGCTTGTGGCGAGGTGGTCTGCGACTACCACGGTAGAGTGGTGTCAAGGCAAGAGGGGCTACGTGTTCATCAGGCCACGGCAGAGAGAGAAAGTGGGTACCTGTTTTTTTATAAAGATAGAGCAGGCCAGGCCAAGTGTGTAGATGCGCATGAGGAGGAGTGTCCATGCCATCCAGGGAGGGCCACGTTTGGTCGTCTTATTAACCACTCCTCCGAGAGGGCCAATCTGAGGCCTAGGCTGTACAGTGTTGATGGCCTAGATGTTATTTTGTTTTTAGCTTTACGGGACATTAAAGTAAATGAGGAGCTGTTGTCTGATTATGGGGTGAACAGAAAGTCTTCTGCTGGGGAGGGTTTGGATTTACTCTGGTTATAGGTTGTGTCAGCTAGCCCTCCTGACAGAACTTTGTGAATACTGTATATAATGTAAATAATGTGTATATACACTTTATCATACGCAAACTTCACAAGGCTTTGTAACTTCTTCAAAATCAAAAATAAAGTGGCTGTTGCTGACATTTGTGTGGTCTTGTGTTTTTCTTTGAAACATAAATATTTCTTTTAAGTAGTGTCTGACACTCAGGCTAGAGTAAGAGCCACAGTTATACTGTCGACTATAAATACATAAGAATGCACACATGCATGTATGTATTCACACATATAAAAGAATCCCTGTGTGGTAGTAGTTGGCATAGAGACCCTATCAAATCCATTCTTCTATGTAAATCCTTCTGATGTTTTGGGTTATAGAAATAATAAAAACACCTCTTTCTCTCTCTCTCTCTCTCTCACACACACACACACAGTAAAGCGTTGCTTTAACACAGTGTAAATACAATCATATGAGCACATACACATGAAGTTTGTATTATTGAATTTATATACTTATGCATGACTTTAGAGTGTCCAAGGCACATAGCAAATGGGGGGGTGGGTGTTACCTGGCTGAAGAAACTAGCCAGGTGTGGATTTTCAAGCACACAATAGGTCACACCCATCCCCCCCATTTGCTATTGTCCCCTTTGCACACATTAACAACAGATCAGGACTGGTCACACAGCTCTTTTCAGTGTTGGGGAAAATATACTGACCAGGTCAAGATCAGAGTTTATTCCAGGTTCTTAGGATTTTCAAAGCCACAGGCACTGGCTTCAACCTCCTCATGTCCTTACACACACACACACACACACTACAACTTTTCTTAAACACAAGTGTATACATATATACGTATGCATTAATTTATATTTTGTTTTGAGTGTCTAAGGCTAACCCTCTGTGTGGCTCTTTCAGCAAACAACACCCACCTCCTCTGTAGCTTCTGCAGCCAGGTCACACCCACCCCCCATTAGCTGTTTTGTTTTACTAAAAAGTTCTTTAACAATCTGCATCATTTAATGAAACAGCATGAACATGATTACATTTAGTTAAAATTACACTTCAAGCAAACTTTACAAACTATAATTAAGCTGACAAAACTTATAAGCAATCAGTAAATGTCATCAGAAAGGCATCAAATTTGAGTTGTTTTAACTCAAAAGAGTTGTATTTATAACAATCTACATAATTTGCTTAAGTAGAAAGAACATGATTCGTTTTAGTTAAAGTTACACTGTTGAAGTAAATTCTGCAAAATCCAGTTAAGTTGATGTTGCTTTTAGATAACGAGTAAATGTCACTCAAATGACCTCTGAATGTAGATCATTTCATTTCATGCAACCCTTTGATGTAAAAATATGAAGTCAAATCAAAGAGTCATTTTTTTTTTGAGTGTGGCTTTGAGCCGTTTCTTGTTTGAGCCTTCATTTTTGGTTCTTAAGTAGTTTTGGGGCGATTTCTCTCTTTTCTTTTCATTTCGTTTAAATGCCCACCTGGGCTAAGTACGGTACCGGTCACCCCTCCACAAAGGTGTGACAAAGGGCTGCTGTTTGCAAGGCCTTAAGTTGAGGAGTTCACAGGTGTGCCAGGTTGGGCCTAATCAGCTCGAGAGCTTCTGGGAGTTGCAGTTCCCTGAACTGTGGTGCCTTGTGTACCAAGGTTAAAACATATTTGTTTTTTGTTAAGATTCCAGCAAAATCCTGATTTTTCCAGATTTTTCCTGATATTTGTCTGAATGATTTGTTTTCGTGTTACGTATTTTGCGTATCTGTACTGGGGAATCGCTTATTGTGAAGTGTTGGTTAATTGTATACTGTCACTTTAAGAGTCAGGGTCTTGCTGTGCGGCTGCGGCGCCTCCAGTCTGCGAAGTGCAGACTGAGAGGTGGTCTGCGCTGCTAGCGGCGGTGGCTAAAACCCTCATTCTATCCCTGTAAAGTGACACAGAAGAAGCTGTGTGCAGTTCTAAGCGCTGCTAGTGAGGCTGTGAACATGGAAATCTGCCGTAGCTCAAATGTGAACTTCGTAAATGTCATGTTTTCCAGTTTTATCTGAGGCACGTGCTTCTCGGCTCTACGGGGGTCCCCCATGTGCGCTCTGTTAACAGGGGGCTTGATGACCTGCGTGTGCTGGAGAGGGAGAGAGAGAGCAGCGTGAGTGGTCAGTCCTAAGCTGTGCGCTGTCTGCAGAGCTGTCACGGGTATATTTAAATGTTCATACAGCATCAGCTATGATGAAGAGAGCCAGCAACCAGCAGCAGTTGTGGTCCGAGTCCTTTGTTCAGTCAGCGCAGCGCAGCGCTCATCGAACACGGCGCAGACTATTAAGGGGGTCATGGTTGTTCAGTGGGACCGCTTTAATAACACACAGGTCCCCACGAACACAGTGCGCCATCACTTTAAGCCCCCTGGTCTCCCAGTGGCCAGGACCTCTATAGCGGCCAGATTTCAAGGTTTAGTCCGAGGAGGGGGGCTTAAGAGTGGGCTGTGAAGGCTCAGATGGTGCAAGGTTCTTGGAAAGCCTAAGCTTTTCAGGGGTCCTGCTTGCCTCGAGGCAAAACTCCCCAAAATGCATTTTCTAGCACCTTTTAAAGGGGCGATAAAGCTTCGGATGGAGCGCAAGTAGTTATTAACCCCGGTAAATGTCATAATGATTTATGACTTATGCGTGACGTCACATGTGAAATATGTAAAGTATTTTCCCAGGGGGTTGATGTGTATAAAAATGTAAACATCAGTGGTATGACATCACATGTGAAATATGTAAAAAAATTTGCCAGGGGTTGGTGTGTGTAAAATGTAAACATCAGTTATATGACGTCACGTGTGAAAATTGCAACTAATTTTCCCAGGAGGTGATGTGTGTAAAAACTGTGAACAACTATTGTAGGTTGTAAAGAATTTTTTTTTCGGTGATAAAATGTTCAATTTTCCCCAGGGTGCGTGTTGGGAGGGGTGGCAAGCGTGAGCAAATTTTCCCCCTTGAGAAGTGTTAATGAAAAAAATGATGTGAATTTTGTGTAAAAGTTTAAAGGGGTGTGAAAAATTAAGAGTAAGGATGAAAAAAAAAGATGCGAGGACTTACCGTCGGTGGGGTGTGGTGGGGTGGGGTGGGGTGGGGTGGTTGGGTCGGGGTTGGTGTGTGTGTGTGTGTGTGTGTGTGTGTGTGTGTGTGTGTGTGAATGCTTTTTGATAACTACCCGAGGTTTGCCCGGTATGATGCGTGGGAATAATTTTCAAAAGATTCCCAGGATGTGTTTTGGAAAAAAAGATGTGTTTTGGAAAAAAAGATTCCCATGATGTAATGGTATGACGTAGTTGTTGTTGTTGTTGTTGTTGTGTTTTTGAGTGACAGCAGCAAGTGGGGGGCCCCGTTCTGCTAAGCGTGACTAATAATTGAACAGGTGTCGTGGTGTTTTTCTCCTCACAATACTATAAAAACTGGCCGTAAAAGAGACAGATTGGTGCGGAGAGTGACTTTTCTGCAAAACCATCGTCGTGGATTCTCCAAACAGACCGTCTAAGGTTCAAGCCGGATCTCCGATCTTGAATTCCTTGAGCAAATGGCGCTATCGCACATTCATTCGGGACAACTTACAAAAGCGTGGAATACCTTATTTCGTGTGGCCAAACAGCATAAAACGACTGAAACTGAAGGAGCCACCCCTGAGGACCAGTCAAATTTTGAGCGCGAGGAAGGCCTTCGTTCGCAATGACATACCTAAACACTACTGGCCCCGTTCGATTCGGGAAGAAAACGATGTTACACCTTCGCAGAAGAAAAAGCAGGAAATCGACAGATTCAGAGCGGACGACAGTCTGTTTAAACCAAGCATAAAGAGGAGATGTCTTTCGATGACGTATTTGACAATTTTGCCGAAAGAAACCCGGCTGAACAATCACTGCATCGTTTTCCGTCAGAGCAGACTGTTTCACAGTGACAAGCCGACTGAAGTCTCCATTTCTGAAAAGGAGTTGTACCTGTTAAACCAGACCGTCCCGAAAACGAATGAAGTGGGGGAATTGCATGCTATGATCTTACAGGCCAGAAACAGGTCATGCATGGTTCGCGACACAAAACAAGACCGAACTGTCCAGGTCTGCCACAATCACACTGAAGGTCAGATCCGCGCATTATTTGCGTCAAATCACCCTGACCATCACAGGGCTCAAGACCCCTTTTAGTTTACCTACAGAGTTCGACTGGAAGTGTGCACGTCACCTGTGATAAGGCACGAAAACGTGTGCTCCAGCGATGACGACCAGCGGATTTTTTATTTTGCCCCTACTGAAAAAGAAGAGCACGTCCAGCTGATTGAAATTACTTTGCGGGAGAGCGAACTACTGGATATTTATCACGCGGTCAAACATGTTCTGACAGGTAAGAAAAACGCTTTTTTTCTTAAGAATTCATTTTGACCGTTTGAGGTACCGTAGTTTGTGAATATAAGCCGTGAAAAGGGTTATACCGTTTCAAGTTGCAGCGTGTGGACGAAGAGTAAGCATGTACGAGCCCGTTAAACCTTTTAACGATTTTCTCTCTCTATCACCAGCCAGCGTAATATGCGGTTGCGACAGCTGTCATATTCCACGCCCGACGAGTCTGATGTCTAAATACCAAGATGACAAAACAGCGATGCGCATGTGCGAGGACATGCCCAGCAGGAGAGATTGGGGGTGTTCCCCCACTCACCAGCCAGAGCACGATGAAGAGAGTTCTGATCTAGACCTCGTGGAAGGACAAAAAAGCGGCGAAAATGACATTTCAGATTCGACCAGCGCCAGCGAGGTAGAAGAAGAGGAAGAGGAAGTCTCCGGCGTGACCGATCTGGACAGCGATGAATTTATCGTGGTGGACGAGGACGGCTTACAAAGCCGACCTTCTTCGCCGGCTGACATCGAGCAGCGTGAGAGAGAGAACGCGAGCGCTTTCTCAGGAACGGGGTCAAAAGGTCAATGCGAGGAACCTCTTGACGCCGGCGCCAGCTCGGAAAGTCAGAGCGAGAAGCCTTCGGACCTCAGTCTGAAGGGCCGAGCCACGAAAATTGTGGAATTTATCTGGGCAAGAGCGATCATCCTGGCTGTTCGTCAGTGGGTTACGAGAGATTGCGCTGGGTGTCAAATTGAACACCCATCACAAAAACA